TTTCTTTTTTTGATCGGACAGCTTCGACCAATGGCGCTTTGCCATTGGTCCAAGCTATCCACAGAGCTCATGCCTCTAACATAGAGTAGAGGCTGTGACAGCTCTTGCCTCAATAGTTAGGTTAAACAAGCAGTGGGGAAGCCCGGTGCTGTGTAACCTAACTGTCAAAAGCTGGATGCAGCGCCGCCTGTAATTAACAGGCAGCACTCCGTCCATGGCAGGTTACATAACGGGGAGGCTTTCCCTGCTGTGCTACCTGATAGAAGCTGCTCTGAATGGAGAAAAAGCTGTCAGCTTCAGACGTGAAGCTGACAGCTTTTTCCTCCATAATACTAGGTGAGGCTCTGCCTCCCCTGCCTCCCCTGACCGCATGTCCCTGCAGTAGAGGTGAGAATAGTAAGAAGGGGCAGAGATGTGCATAAGGTTAATTAGAATTATTACTATCATTTAAAGCGTTAGAGTACTGTGGGGGCATGCATTCGTACAGTGTATGCAGAGAGCCTCAGATGGGCGGAGTTGGGAATACCAGGTTACCGGCGACCTGAGGATTTTTCACACTGGAGCGGCCAGTTATCCCTAAAAAAATGGCAATGTAAAAAAAAAATCTGGCTTGTAGGCTGTGTCCTCTGTATGTGTTCTTATGCAAACCATCTGAGTTTGGCTGGAGTGCGCCTTTAAATCAGCCTGCCTGTTGATATCTTCTCTTTCACTTGACAATGGAGATCTTAATTCCAGCAGCCTCTTCCCCTGGAGATCAGTTGCTAATATGATTGATCCATTCCCTTCCAAGAAATGTGCAAGCATTATCTTATTTTTTGCTAAGTGAAGGTAATTCCATCAGGCTCAGACGGGACGGAAGCAACAGATCAGGCGACGTGTTGAAAGTGGACCACTCGTGTCCCGGATTCTGGCCTTGGAAGGATAAGAATGACTTGTCATGCAGCTGATGTGAATGTGTGTGTGATACATGGAGCAGATGGAGAGCACGCTAGAGGCTCACCAAGGCCTTCCTGTAAAGGCAGATGGTGCTAGTAGGAACACAAGTGTCCTGACATGGCCCATCTCAATTCAAAGGTGTCAGCAGGTCCGGCTCTGAAGACGAGTGACATGTTTGGAAGAGCTGCAATAGAAAAAAAAAAAGGACTATTCCATGACGGCTTTATTTAATATTATTAAAGTGTACCTATGGTGACAAAAGCAATGGCCGGACAAGGTTTTCTGGCACCCAAGGCGAGGATTTTTACTTGCCTAAAAACCCTACCTGGCTTTCCCCTTCTATGTAATGTTAACAGGGAACTGGGGGGGTCATGTTTACCATAATTAACCCTGGCCTGGCCCTATATGACTGGGCCCCTTGGGAAATACAGCGGAGTATAACAGATAGCAGCTAGAGATATCCACTCTTCCTCATAAATAGACCCATCAATGTCACTGCACTAGCTGATCTACTCTGCCGGCAGCAGATCATGTGCTCATTTCTATATTTCATTCAAAAAGATAATAGGAAAGAGCAAGCATTAAATAAAATCCTTCATTATCATTTCCTGCTAACAATCTTCAGCTTACAGGCACCGCTTCTCTTGAGGCTGCTGTTAGCTACACTGTGCACAATAGAGAGTTACAATTAGGGGCTGATGTATAAAACTTCGGCCCCAGTGTATAGCTGGCCAAATTCTGTTTGCACGGCATTACTGCCACTAGATGGAGTTGAGGAGCATACTGTAGGAGATCCAGTTATGGAGAAATGGGCAATTTATGCATGGAGTTATGGAGTAATGGAAGTTTTATGCATGGAGTTATGGAGTAATGGAAGTTTTATAAATGGAGTTATGGAGTAATGGAAGTTTTATAAATGGAGTCATAGAAGTTTTATAAATTGTGTTATGGAGTCATGGAAGTTTTATAAATGGAATTACAGAGTAATGGAAGTTTTATACATGGAGCTGTGAAACAAGGGAAGTTTTATTCATGGAGTAATGGAACCTTTATAAATGGAATTATGGAGTAATGGAAGTTTTATAAATGGAGTTATGGAGTAATGGAAGTTTTATAAATGGAGTTATGGAGTAATGGAAGTTTTATAAATGGAGTTATGGAGTAATGGAAGTTTTATAAATAGAATGATGCAGTAATGGAAGTTTTATGAATGGAGTAATGGAAGATTTATACATCAGCCTCTTAGGTTTTGTTTTTTTGTAGCGGCAATGTTATCCTATGTGTATACATCAGATGTGGGAACGGGTAAAATCTGGCTAAAACATTCAGCACAAACACCGCAGTAAAGCATGAAAAGAAAGGAAAGTTCTTCAAGTAAATAAAAGGTTTACAATAAGGAGGCGCAGCAGATAATTTATAAAAAGTAGAAAATGAAAAAAGAAAACAGAATGTGACTTGGTCTTTGCCACATTTCACTGTCAGCTGTAATATAAGCTCTTCTTCTTCTTCTTCCTTCCCAGGTGCCTTGTTACTCCTATGGACAGAAGCTGTCTAAGTTGGCCATCTTGAGAATAGCGTGTAACTATATCCTGTCCCTGGCAAGACTGGCAGACCTCGACTACAGCGCTGATCACGGTGACCTGAATTTTGCTGAATGTGTAGAGCAATGCACTAGGACATTACAGTCAGAGGGAAGGTCAAAGAAGAGGAAGGTAAGATGAATCTCCGTGTCCTTCCTCTAACCTATCAGACAAAGGAGCCGACAATTATCTATTAATACGGATCTGATTTCCTCTTCTGAATGTAACTCGCCCTTTTTTCCCCATAGCAGAACTCACAGGACTTGTTCAGACTTATCCTGTGAAACAATGCAAGGATCACAGCGGTAAGGGCACAATGCCCCTATGACCCTGTGTATGGAATCTTGTACTGGTCTAACTTCAATGGAGGACTCTGGTGGTTGGCCGCTGTGGGTTACCGCAGTTAGCACTTACTGTATAGATCAGGGGTAGCCAAACGTCAGCACTCCAGCCGTGATGAAACTACAAATGCTATAATGCATCTGCCTCATGCCTGTGGCTGTCAGAGTCTTGTAATGGGATTTGCAGTTTGACCACAACTGGAGGACTGAAGTTTGGCTACCCTGGAGTAGATGCCTGCACAGTTTATTGAAGACGGCCAGTCTGGTCCACCCTGAGTGTTATTTCATTCATACTCCCTTCATTATTTCTGACTGTATCCCGGCCCACCTGGGATTTCTGGGTAATCCCGCCCCCTGTGTCTGTTCCAGCTCTTCCTGTTACATTCCCCATAATATAACTAAATTAAAATCCAATAGGGAGAGTGGTGACTCACGGACCTAAACCTTAACTCCATTCTTTCCTTTAGTCTTGTACCGGTGTTCTATCAAAGATTGTGACAGCGGTGGAATGTGTGACCGGTCACGTGGTCACACATTTTCACGTAATCACACCCACTTTTTCCGGGGGTTAAAATCTGTGACCGGCAAAAGGTGAATTCTAGCTGTTCCAGGGCAGATCAGCATCGCAGATGGTATGTGCAGGAGAACTGATCTGCCCTGGAACAGCTGATCGGTCCAGAAATGTCACTTCTATCCGACTTTATGGAATGTGAGATCGCACTCACAGAGTCGGATAGAAGTGACATTTTCGGACCGATCAGCTGTTCCAGGGCAGATCGGTTCTCCTGCACATACAATCTGCGATGCCGATCTGCCCTGGAACAGCTAGAATTCTTCACCTTTTGCGGGTCACAGATTTTAACCCCCAGAAAAAGTGGGTGTGATTACGTGAAAATGTGTGACCACGTGACCGGTCACACATTCCACCGCCGAAAAACTAGGCGGGATTAGGTTAGAATGTGTGACCATGTCACCGGTCACACATTCTAACGCAGTCACAGACTTTGGTAGAACACCGGCTCCTCTCCTGTACTTCAATCACTTCCTCTGATTGCACTGCACACTGTGAGCTTCTCATTATGTGCATTAGAAGCTGCAACATGTCAGAGAGACGCCTCCTCACTTCCCTGCTGAAAGACATTCAGTATCATGTTGTTCTTTCCTCCCTGGCCCATCCCTTTCATTCATTGGATTTCAGTTCTTTCAATCATGTGGATTCAGCACCACATGGGAGCATTACCCAGGGCAGGCTGCATGCCTATGCAATCTACGTAGTGCCGCCCACTCCTAGAGGCTGATATCCACCTATCAATGCATTTAATATTTGCATAACTCCTCCCAAGAGCCAGCCCCCTGCTTGCATCAGGGCTGAGGTCTCTTGAGAGGAGAGTACTGAGGCAGGGTGCTGTGATGTTTTCAAGAAGCTATGTACTACACCCTGCTGGTTGGCCTGTTTTTGGTGCATTACATTGGAAGGCGGACTATCCATTCAGTGGGTATGCAGTGCAAAGTCTAGATCCATAGTACATTGTACAATCAGATTGTATAGCCTATATTCAGCTTAATGGGTACAGATAGATACATTGTAGGTTGTACATGTGGTTTTTCTTTTAGAAGGGGAGTGTGTGTGAAGACGGAGCCCCCCTTTAAAAGCCAAGCATGGCCAATTTCCACCTTCCAGTGAAGCCAGTTTAATCATGGCAGATGTTTTCCTCGTCCCGTCCTGTGGAAACCCCATGAATCACTCGGAGGCTTTCTGCGGCCTTTTTGGACAGCGATCCAGCGGTCGTCTTCGAGTGACGTTCCCGCAAGAAGCCTGTAATTGCAGGTTTATCTTCAGACGCACAGCCAAGGCCGGGGTATCTCAAGGAAACAGCACTGAGCCTAATTACTGCATCACATTCCTTCAGGTTACTGAGCGCCCAACCAATTACATGAAATCACCATCAAACCGTGTTAAAAAGGAAGCCGGCCGCTCAGCCAGCCTTCCTCTCGGAAAAATAACAGGCTTGAATAAGAAGTGAGTGATTGATGTTTGTGCTCGGAGGATTATGACAAAAGGTGGTTTGTAAACTCCGATTGAACCTCCCCGAGGATCCTAGGATCTGTTGTCACCGCCATTAACAGGATGGTCATGCTGCTCGAAGGGGCGGGATAGCTTGTTGTCATCTATTTTTGCTTCACACAGCAAGTCGGCCATGTATGATGACTGGTATTAAAAGCAGCAGAGTGGACTTTGTAAAAATTTGGGGGACTATATATTCCCGTGCTTGGCTTCAATGCTATGCGCTGGCATTGACTGTACAACTATGAGTAAAAGAAAAATGACATATATAATGCAGAGTAATCGTTGTCTTTGTCACAGTCAGGGCCGTCCCTATATTGCTTTAGGGGGCATCTCTTTGGGTCACGTGGAGGGGCGGTGGGTGTGCCTGCCGCCCCCTTTCTGGCCAGAGCATCCCAGGTTGCTAAGACCTCTTAGCAAGCTGGGATGCTCTGGCCAGGGTCCCACACAGCTCCGTCAGTGAGCTTGGCGGGACCCCGGACAGAACCAGGGGCCAGAGTTGCATCACTAGCAAACCC